AAGAACTTCTTTACTATCATCAGTCCGCAAAACATTTTCCCCCAAAGTCTTGAGGATTATGACAATATTTTTGACAAATGTAAGCTGTATTTTTGCATTTGGTTTGTCAGCACTTTTTTTGTCCTGGAACTTCCCATGAATGCAATTTTTGCTCCATCTTTTGGTATGTAATCAGGTTTACTATGGTTTAATGTTATTTCTGTTTGTGTATTATGGTTTGGTAGCCCTTTCCAGGCAGACAGATGCCAATTAATTGATGCTTCATCTGTTCTTGGGATTTTTTTCAGCCAACGTCAAGTTATCAGACGGGTTATGTTTGAGTAAATTCTTGGTTTGGCAGTAATCAAGCCTGAGTTCGGCTAATGAAATTTAAAATTTTGAAAGAATATGGTTCATATCATTTAATCAGATTTGCTAGTTTGTGACCAGGCAGGTTTAAATCTCTCTTTACCCTTAATTTAAATAATTTTAAAGTTTTAATGGTCACATTAAAAACTGGTTGTATGATCTGACATATTTAAGTAGAACAGATATTAAAGGGGGCAAACACTGTTACCTCAGCAAGGCTTTTCTACATAAACACTAACATTCTTACTCAAGTATTTGCATGCTAAATATATCTGCATGCTAATGACTAGCTATATCTCCAAATCTCACCAGACTTGTGATTTGTTTTTGACATGTTCTGCACCCCAAACAGGACAAACACCCGCTGACAGTTTCAATAAAGTAACAGGAACTGAGGCTATGAGGTGGAGGCAGCCGGCAGTGGTGACAAGATGCTGAACTGAGATGCTTTTCCGCCTTTTTATCACTTAATTGGAGTTTTTAAAGTGCAACAGTCTCCATCAGTTGTCCAGCGGGGTGTCTACTCACAGCCTTTTACATTTAAACTCGGTAAAACGTCGGAAGAACTCGACAGAGAAGCCACTCAGCTGATAATGTCGGTCCAAAAGCATTAGATAGATGGCTGCAGCTCGGCGATGAGACGTCTAGCTAACGCTTAATAAAAACCCAACTAACTGGAATACCAGCTGCCAGTCCAGGGAACGGTTGCCGTGGCGACGGATAGCCGTTACTTTACTGCGCGCTGACTCCTCCACATTGACAGATGTCCAACTGTTTCTGCTGTGTTTTGACGTTAGCTAGTAGTAGCAGCAGGCTAGCCACGGCTAGGCAGGCGCCGTGGAAATAACAAAGCGACCCCCCTCACACGAACAAGAGAAACAAGAGGGGGAGAGAAGCACAGCGCGGCTTACACGGTGATGTGCCCGGCCCCTCGCATGACCACGGGCTCCGGGCAGTATCGCTGTAAGTGCTCCTCGCTCACTACGTGCTCATCGTCTTCGTCTTCTAACTCATAAATGGTATCAAAGTCCGCCATGTTGGGCTGTAAGACGCTCATCATCGCCCCGCTGCGTCCAGATTTACAAGAGCTGGAACTCGCTATGGCAAGACGGTTTGCCATGTAATAGGCAGACTTGGATTTTTCAAAGAAAAAGATTTTAGAAATATCCTTTATTGTCCTATTGTGTGGGAATTTGACATCAGGAAGATCATTTTAAATAATAATAAAATTAAAAAAAAAAACAATAATAGCATAGTCAGACAGACTTATTGAGTTTGTTAAAGTCCTGCAGCTGCTAGGAGAGGAAGGATCTGTGATAATGCTCCTTTGTGCACCTCGGATGCATTAGTCAATCACTGGAGAAACTCACCAGTTCAAGATTAGCTTTAAAAGAAAAGTGGGACACATTGTCAAACAGTGATGTTATTTTAGCCTTTCAGTCTCCCACCAACTGCAACATGCCAAGGCAGCATATTAGCGTAGCGGTAGCCTTTCTGATGATGATGATGATGATGATGCAAGCTGGACTCAAGGACACCTATGCACTAATACTGAGTTTTTTATGATTACATGCTTACCATGACAAACCATCGCTCATAAAATTGACCAGCTGATAGTCACAAACAAATTTACAAAACTTAAATATAATATCATCTGATAATGCTACGACCTTTTTAGTGAATATCCCCCTAATAATTCCCAATATTCAAAAACACTCATTACACACTCCCAATCAAATTTTTCGACAGTTGTGGGTGCAAAAATAAAAGACACCAATATGTGGGGTGAGAAATGAGTAGGGAATATACAATATATCTTATAATTTATATATTATTAACAATCAGAAGCTCATTAACCAAGAAACAGAACCAAAAGCATGTCAAAGGATTTCTTTACATCTATGCTTGATGAAAGTCCAGAATATTTGCTCCGTATGGAGAAGATGACTTCGTCCTGCCATCCACCCATAAGTGTTTTCATTGAATATTAAATCAGGATTACATTCAGGATCTTTGAGGGAATTTACATTTTATTTTTTTCATATGTAACAATAAATGCTCTTAGTAATGTTGTGATGTAGAAATAAAGACCATATAGTAAAATTATTTACATTTTCCTTATTTGAAATGTTAGATGTGTTTCCATGTTCTCATCTTCCAAATACAAACTGCCTGTTCAAACATCTTAGATATTTTTTAACACTGTGAAACTTGAAGAAGCAGTTGGAATTTGTGGGGTCATATTTATGAAAGAAATCTTGAAGTATGTAGTGCATTGTGTCTTCTGAAAATACTTACTTGTAAAAGCTACATTTTAGATACCTAAAATTTATTCTGCACTTCAAATATCACCAGTGCAGCTCCAGGAAAAGAGGATGTATTTGTGACTGAAAACTAATTGTATGTTATTTCTAAAAATGAAATTACTTGCTACTGGAAAAATTACATTAAAGATGCAATGCCTTCAAATGTAAATGTGAACTCTGGTAAAAGATCTGTCTGAAAAAAAAGTGTCATTTCTCCTGGTGAGAGTTTAGATTTGTTTCTCCTCCATTACTATTACCCTCTCTCTGTGAATGTTGAAAATATAAACTTTGGTCCTGGTTTAAGTTGTTTTAAACGTTATACTTTTTGCTGTAATTCAATGGATACAGACGTAATTATCTGTTTACTTGAAAGCATCTCTTGATTTATGAAGACCAACACACATCATCCTCTTTTCAATATGCTCTCTTGTCTTTCCCACATTGAGGAATGGCTAAAATAAATTGTTTTGGTTTGTTATGTTGTGTTGATGTCATATTTGTACTCCTGAAGACCACAAGCAGAAATACCAGAATCCAATATGGCTGCCATGCATTTAAAACAAGGAAAGTTACAGCGACAAACTATTTTCTTGTACACCTGAAGGATTGTATCTAACTAAAACAGCAAAAGCATACACTGTGCCTTGTTTTAGTGCATAAATTAAAAATAAATACATGCGTAGTTGGCACATTAAGATTTTCAGCTTGCTACTAGAATGCATTCAGCTCTGGTGTGACAACATTCCTTCATCCCACATCCAAAAGGCTGTCTGATATCTGCAGCACCTTATGAATGACTTAAAGAGCTCTATGTAATTCAAATAAGCCTTACCACTTCACAGAAAGACGTCTATAAGGTAAGGACATTCAAAACAGCTGCCAACATTTGGCTATCCAATCAAGTTTACCCTTAGAGCAGACCACAAGATGCTAAAAGAAGTATCCAAAAACCCTAAAATGTTATTAAAATGTGATTGTGTAAGTACATCTACAATCAGAAGCAGGTTGCTTGAGTTAACTTGTCAAAGTAAAACATGAGAACCAGACTGAGGTTTGCTAGAAAGAACAGAAACAAAACCCAGGATGTCTGGAATGTTTGTCTTTGCACAGATTAGTCTAAAATTATTAACATAAACCAAACATCCAAGGCAAAGAGCCTCATACCAACTGTGAAGCATAGAGGTGGAAGAGTCATGGTTTGGGAATGCTTTTGCTGTAGCAGGAGCTATATCTAATACATCATTACTGTGACGTATTAGAGTGAGATTAAAGCTGAAGCACATCTCGACCCCAGAGAGATTTTAGGGTAACGGTGTCCTAACCTTTTCCTTCAGTTAGAGTTTTCGTTTTTTCGTTTTGGGGGGGTTATTTTAACAATATTTTAGCTTCAGAGGTCTTTCAGACATGAACTTTAAAAAAAATATTTAAAAAATAGGCGATTAGATTTGATATGATTATATGGTAAAACGGCCTACCATAACCTCTTGCAACCAGAGCTGAAAAGTTTTATGGCCTCATCGCGCTCCGATTCACCAGAGCTGAAAGTGCTCGCCGTCCATCGTGACAGAAAAACAGCGGAACAATCTTTTAGAGAGTTGACACACGGACGTCCTCCACTCAGACGTAATAAATTAACCCATTAAATTCCCACAAGGGCAAAGGCTGTAGATCAACTTATTTCTAACATAACAAGCCGCAGTTAACATGTCAAATTGGGAAAAGTGACCTAGAATAAAACCCAGCCTGACTTCCAACACATTCAACATAGAGAGAAACATTTCTGGACTTTATAATCTTTAGAAATTGAATTTAAACCTCTACAGAACCTCAACTATGCTCATTTGTTTTCCCCATATTTAATGAAAAATCCCTGATCAGCAAAAGGTGCCTCGTTTTATGATGCTGTAGTTTATTAGAGCGGATTTGTTCCGCAGACTTTTTTCGGCCAATAGAAAACAAGAGTTCAAACATATTTTATTTTAGGTTATTTATAATGAGTGTATTATTTTAAAAAAGGAAATAAAAGGTGATAAATCTTGTACAAAAACACTTTATTTACATTTATAAAGTTGCCATTAGACGACAATATATCCGCATCATTAAAAGCTGCCCTTGTGCTAAAAACAAGTGAAAAATGATTTGTCAAGTAAACGCATCGGTTCAAACTTTACCGGAATGACTCTTTTCTTCTTAAATTTTACCAAGCACATACACTTCCTCACAAACAACGCACCATATTTATATCTTATAAACTCACAAACAATTTAAAGATTTTTTTTATTATTATTGTTTTTTTTTTTTTTTTTGCCTTTTTTTTTTTTTGAGTTGAAAAAACATTTCCCACTTCATTAGAACTATTCTATCAAAAGTAATATTTCAAGAGCCTCCAGCATGTCGTTGTAATAAAAAAACAAAACAAACAAAAAACAAAACCAAACAAAACGGGTTGAGAGTTCGGATCCTTCTGCTGCCCATCAAGTGTCCCGCATGTCAGCGTGTTGGAGTGCTCAATTTAGGAGAGATGGCGGACCGGACGGTCCACATTCGGACGGTTCTACTGAGTCACAGTCACCTGCTGGATATTCCTGATAGACGGCAAGGTGTTCATTCCCTGAGGAGGGTACAGAGAGCCGTGGATCTCCGTGGGGCTGAGGGAGCCCGGCACCGGCAGAGGGCTCACCGAACCCGGGTCACTGTGCACAGACCCGCTGCTGCCGTCGGACTGACCCAATTTCTTCTTTATCAGCTTCCTCTCTTTGGCTCTGCGGTTCTGAAACCATATTTTCACCTGAGAAAAGACACAAACAGTGAAATTCAGCACTAAAAAGATTATATTATATTATATTATATTATATTATATTATATTATATTATATTATATTATATTATATTATATTATATTAGTATAGGCAACTCTTCTTTTGAACATCCAAAACTATATTTAACTTTATATTTTTGTAATTTAATAAAATTGTAGCTTGTTAATATACATATCTTGTTGCATTTCCTTCTGTTTCAATATAGTAAAAATAAATTGGGGTTTTGGTGTAAAACGCAAAATATATTTGTAAGATTTTCCAAGGTTTTTGATAAAGTAAAACAAACACAAAAAATTAAAAAATAAAACAATACCATGTCTATATATTTTTTAAAAAATCTCTTTTAAGTCATTTTTGTCAAAAAACAATAAACAAGATAAATCCTAATATCCAGTATATTTAAAGAAACAACACCATACTCTTTCTTTTACCATATAACCATTTGGAATAAAATAAAAACAGATGAATATTAGAAAGCATGCATTTGTCATAAAACTTGCACAGGATGTGGATGAACAAATGGAGATTCTTTGAGAGGACGTTTAGTTATATCTATTTTTTATTTCAATGAAATAATGTAAAACAATGTTAAAAACAACCTTCATATTATAAGTATTTGCTTTGAAACTGCTCAGACGGTTGAATAATAATTCCCTGAATTTTTAGAGGAAACTTTGCCAGATTTTATTAAGTCTTTAAAAAATAAAATAGCTGAATTATGCCACATCTGATGCTAATCATTTCCCAAGCCTCTTCTAGTGTCATATTTATATGTAAAATCTGTAAAATTGTTAAGTTTTCTGCTTCTCTGAAAATAAACAAAATAAAATCAGAGAAACAAAGTATAAGATTGTAAGAACACATTTTTGTGCTACGAATTGGAGAAATGCCACATTATTTTCACTACAGCCAATATTGTCCATGCTTTCCCACCTTTCCATCAAGCTTTGGTAATAATTTATGACCAAAACTTTTACAGCTCTTCTGAATGGATCAACATTACGCATGAGAGTATTTTATGCATACCTGTCTTTCCGACAGACCCAGGTTGACAGCCAGTTCGGATTTCCTCCTGATGGTGATGTATCTGTTGAAGTGAAACTCCTTCTCCAGCTCCAGCCTCTGGTGGTCTGTGTACACAACCCTGTACTTCTCCTTCGTTCTTGTTTTACCTGAGAACAAGACAAATGCATGCGGTGAGGACAAGACGGCTTTTTTTGTTTGTTTGTTTGTTTGTTTTGATCTGGATGGTCGTGGTTCTGCAGACAGCCGGTTGGCCAGGCTTGGCCAGGCCTGTCTGAGCGCCGCATCCTTCCTCTGAAATCCACATCTTCTCCTCAGATACGCAAATTGAGCTGCTTTTGACCTGGTTCTGATGACAAAGCGAATTTCAAAGAACTAGGTCTGGCTTTTCTCTTAGTTATTACGCATAAACTGACGTTAGAAACAAATATGTGGAAATTAACTGTGAAATGTATTTCGTTTATTCGTCTTTAAATTGAGCTATAAAAGAGAAATGAAGTAAATTCAAATGTAAAACAGTTGATTTAGAAATATTTAATATTGAGACAGTTAAACAATGGGCTTATGTTATTTCTGATAAACGCTCCCAGCTGCGTGTGTTTGGAAAAAGCCGAGAAAAAGTGACTCTTTCTGGGTAAAGCAGGGAAGGAATGTGGCGCATATCAAAGTGGATATGACTGGCAGCGATGGAAGCAGCAAACAATGTAACAAGGAAGTCGAGCTCACAACTCCAGGAATAATGACATTTACATCACAACTGGGCACGACGCCGATTCCTCACACCATTTTTTTTATTTCCACCCACAAGAGCAGAGAGTATAGTTGGCAAAGCTGAAGGTTTATTACATTTATCACTTATAGATTGAGTTATTCTCGGGGATCATTTTAGAGGTTATGGGAGATGGCTTGCGTCTGCGTAAAATCCAGATTTATGGCGGAAAATGGAGGCCTACATCTGTCCAAGATGACTCTCTCACCTGTAGAAGATGCTTGTGCTGTTTTGCTCATCCACTGGTATGAATTGCGCCTTTCTCTCTCAGGAGAAAGCTGTGCAACAGTAACGTTGTCCGGCGGCGGCTGCAGCGCCGCAGCTCCGGGGGGGTGCATGTGACTGTACTCGGACGAACAGTAAGGAACTTGTCCAGGGGACGGGTTGTTCATGGGGGGAGGAAGATTGTTAGGAGGTCCAAGACTATATGCACCCCAGTCCTCTCTCGGGGCGCCATATGAGGGTCCCCAACTGGCCCCGGATTGTGCGTGCGTGTCCATGTTTGGCACATGATGGTATCCTGTAAATTCGGGGTACTGTGGAGACGAAACGAAGTTCTGTGGAGGAAGATTGATGCTTGATCTTCTTACTGGTCCTTGGTGATACATCCGCTTTCTTTATCCAGTAAGTATCCAACGTACATGTTTTGTAAAAAAAAAAAAAAAAAAAAAAAGTTGGAAAGTTTTTCTTTTCAGCAGCAGAGGGAAAAATGCAGCGACATTTTGACCCTGCCAACTGTTAGCGTCGATCCCTGCGCTCTTTGTAGTCCAAATGGGTTCCCAGTGTGAAATGCAGTTTGTCTCCAGCTTTACATGATGCGACCAAATGACAAGAAGCTAAAGGTACACTGCGGCCTGCCTGACGTCGGCCAACTCTTCGATCCTCGCAGATTTACATCTGAATGGAAGTGACCGGTGCTGCAGGCCCGAGTGTCCCTTGCGTCTGCCCTGCAGCGCGTCATCCTGTGACAGTGGGCCTATCCCGAGCACGGGTTACCCACTCCATGAATAAATTATCACCAGGGCCTATCAGCTGCACACACGGGCAATAAAACCGGCCTGCACGTCCACACACGCAAACAAGGAGGCCTGTGCGTAATTACGCACAGATGAACTTTTACAATAAATAGCTTGTTAAAATAATTTACCTTCGTCACTTAGGATTGGTGACCATTTAAACTTTTATCACTCTGAATTAAAACGAAACCATGTTTGAAATTTTACTGTGGGAACCGTGACCACGCTTCACACGTAAACCCGGACTTATTTGTCAGGATATTCACTTGCAAACGAGGTGCAAAGTATGAGAGACTTTTTCTTGTTTCGTATTCCGTTCACACCTCAAGGTCGCACTTCACAGCTAATTCCGGTTACAAGGAAACTCCTGCAGCCCCCTCTCCTCCTCACAGAGACAAACAGAGGCCGGTGGCACCATCAGTCACTGCTGTCCGCTCAGGCTGCTTTTAATCTGGAGCTTCACTAAAAGAAAGAGAGAAAAAGAGTTCAATTATCGACTGAAACAATCAAACACATTTGAGAAAAGGTGCACATTAATCACTCATGTTATCCTTCTTTAAATCACGGTCTACTTGTTTATTGGTCACAAAAAAGTTTATGAGACAGTAAAAGTGAGACGCTGCACAATGATCTGCAGAAACATCCTGTAAAAGAGCCACGCATCATTTTTAGTTTCTTTTTGACATTTTCCCACAATTTTCTTTCATTGTTAGTTACAAAATAGCTGCACGCAAAAGCATAAATGTGTGCTTTTTAGACTTAAACTGCAGAATAAAACAACTCGAATAAGCCAATTCTAACAATATACATTTATTTTCAGTGTGTTTTCCATTCATACTCTCACTTTGATAGATTGTGTTATTTTGTAATTTTGCAGTTTTCACACTAAGTGAAGCTTTTTGGACCAAACGATGCCCCCTTGTGCTGACTCATCATTTAAGCACATTTCATAGTCTAACAGGCTCACATGAACGATGATGAAAGGTGGAAAACATGTTATTTTAACATGTTTTCCACATGTTTATTTATCTGAGAAGAACCTCAGTTTAGATTTACAAAATGTAATTTAGATTAGCAAATGTAAATTGGGGGGGTCCTTGTTAACCTTCACTGTCCACTGCCAGTCCAGTCCAACAGCTTCCAACCAAATAAATAAATAACAAATAAATAATGGATCTCTTGAATGGGCTTTGTCTCGTAATCCTCTAAACGCTTTTGCCTGGATCCTTTTTATTGCCGAAGTTTTTCCTTCCACAAAATTTTCAGTTAGTACCCTTGGATACAGCAAATGGAAAACTGGTATTCTTTTCCCAGCTCCACCCTTCCATGGTCTGTGAACTGCCCTTAATTGATATATTTATTGATCTTGTTTGTAAGAGAGACAAATACATGGGAAGGAATATATTTACATGTTATACCGTTGATACAGTTTATATTTCTTCTTATGAATTGTAAATCTTTCTCTTTTTTTGTTTTACAATCCTTTGGTTTAGTTAAAATAAGCTGTTATTTTCTGTTTGTGAAGAACCGTAAAATAGTGCAACACTGCCATCAAGTGACAGAATTAAGGTACTGAAGAATGTCTCATTTCCACTTCAGAGCAATAATTTATTGTGAAACATCAATCAGTGGAGTGGAATAATTTTTTGAATAGTTTCATTTGCATTTCTTTTTAACTCGGATCACCATTCTCCTTATTTGGTGTATTTAAATATGAACCGTTTTGACATAACCTGAACCGAATGTGATCAGCGCCATCTTAGATGGAAAAACGTAAACAATGACTTCCAGAGCAACGAGGGAAAAAACTATTAACACTCTTCACCAATGTGCAAGAGAAATATATATATCTACAAAATGGCTGCCGTCTGAGTCGAGCCGTTTGAGACAGAGAATGACATCCCATCCTCTGGGATGTCTGAGACAGACAGGGAACAGACGGTCCGCCTTTTTGTGAAATCACTAATGTCAACAAGTGTAAAGAAGGCAAAGGCCTGTTTCTTTCCCGACCACCTGGAAGCCACGGAAGAAAGGCTTGTGGGAAATCTGGGCCAGAGTGGAGACACAGGAATTTGAGATTAAGGAGAAAGACATCAATCGCCTGTGCCAGAAAGTATTTAAGAACATCACAAAAACTTTAGGCTGCTCCTCTGGAAGTACGCTGGCCCTTATTGAGCACAACTTAGTTGACAACGTAGTTTGTCGTGTTTCGCAAAGGAACTGAAGAAGCAGCAGAAGCAAAAAAAGTTCTTTGAGAAGATTCGTTTCATGCCATTAAAACACTGACGCGCAGTTTTACCAAATAAGACACCTAGAGAACAAGAGGAGCTGGTTCCACTGAAAATATCAAGAGTAGAAATGATAAAGAATGCTTGAGAAGACGACCAGAGGAAAAGACGACCTGCAGAGAGGAATATGTATAGACTGGTTGAGAATTGAAAGGAAAGATATGAGCTGGAAGCCCATGTCTTGGGCTTCCAGCCCAAAGGTGAGTAAAGGCAAAGGTAGATGGGTGCCTGCAGAATAATAGTACAAGAAAACTGAGGTGACAAGCATAGCAAAGGGACAATGATGCCTTCAAGGGTTTATGGAAGGTGCATGTAGAGAGATGTCAGTAGGGCAGTGTTTCTCAATTCCAGTCCTCAGGCCCCTCGGCTCTGCATGTTGCAGGCGTTTCCCTTCTGCCACACCTGGATTGAATCTGGGTTGAATTAACAGACTTCTGCAGTACTTGACGGCTTCAGAAGAGGTCATGCAATCATTTGGATCAGCTGTTCTGGATCAGAGGCAGATCTAAAACATGCAGAGCAGGGGGCCTGAGGACTGGAATTGAGAAACACTGCAGTAGGATAGATAAGGATGCCTGCCAAGGCATCAGGAGCCATGGTAGTGTTGGTAGAGAGACGAAACTTCAAGAAGCTTCATCTCACCATCACTGAGATCCTCCTGATCAAAGCAAAGAAAGAGGAGAAGTGGATCCGAGCAGCAGGAGCTTTCCAAATGAAAAAAGAAGAGGAGGGCGGAAAGAAAAGGAAGGCCTGGGATCTCTACAAAGTGGCATCATGACCTTACGGCAGATCGTAAGGTCATGTGAGGTTGTGTAGAAATCGCTGGGCTTTATGAGGATTGTTGATTGGAGGATTGATGAGGATTGTTGATTGGAGGAGAGAGGAGATGAAGAGTTGTCTATGCCTTGGCTTCATTCAACTGAGTAAGAAATATCAATTTAATTAGAAATTGATTTCTCGAAGAATCCAAAGCTGTTTTTTATTGTCATTGTGAAGCTGTGTGACGTATTCATTTTAATTCACAAAATTACTTTTTTTCTCTAAATTATGCTTTTGAGCTCCTTCCTTACTTTCTTCCTTCACCTGCAAATAATTTAGCTTTTTTATGACAGGTGTTTGTTTTAAAACAGTTTTTTATGCATATATTGCAGAAGATAAAACAATAATGCATCAACATACTTAATAACTTAAGTAACTTAAGTTATTATGTTAAGTTATGAAGTTAACTTATTAGCTAAATAAGTTATTATTGACTCATTAAGTTGATAAGTTAGTTTTAACTTAAGTTATTAAATTAAGTTAATCAGTGAAGACATTTTTAATTTGAGTTATTAATAACTTAATAGTAAGTTGATAATAACTTAAGTTATTATATAACTTCATATTATTAAGTCACATATACTATTATACAGAGTTTTCTCCATGTTTGGTTAAGTTACTTAATTACTTAAGTTTTTTTAAGTAAATCAAATAATTTTTTAAGTTATTTAATTGTTATAATCACTCAATAATGAATAAGTTATTGTTTTAAACTAAACTGAATAGATTTTGTGAATAAAAATCACAAGATTACATAAAAACTGGCGTTATAATGTAATTAGAATACCAGTACAACTTACAGATGTTTGAGAAGTGACCACAGGAAAGGAGGTAAACTAGTAACATGTGCGGCTATTTTTAGACAAATAGTTGACGCAGAGGCACCAGTTATGATTTTTAATCTCTAATTTAAAACATCTGCATAGAAAAACGTGGAAACAAGAGCCACGTATTTTGTTTATGGGCTGTTTTACTGACAGCAACATACTCAAATATTCTTTCTTCCTTTAATTACTTACAGTTTGTGTTGTGTAATATATCCCATCAGTATGCAAATTATTGCTGGAGATAAACATGAGGAAATGTTCAAAAGAAAAGTGTTACAGACAGAGAAAATACGTCAATATGTCATCAATCAAAACATGTGGAAACGCCACATAAAATTTGTTATCAGCAAATCAAATAAACTAATTAGTAAACAAAAAAAAAAGCCCTGCAAGAACATCTTGTACCGTCATTTTTTTAAAACAGCAAAAAGAGAAAACAACGACCATTTGGTCGCGATGGAATTTACTCATATTGACGAAAACAAATGATTTTCTGAGAAATATTTTTAGATGTGGGTATGTGGGGTTAAATCAACCCCAAACAGTCTGTGTGCTGGATGTTATTGATTAAATGAAGGAGCTGCAGCTGCCTGGCTCCCTGATAGGAGATGCTACAAGGCAGGGGTCTGGGTGGTTTTGGTTGTTCATCGACGTGATCGGCCGTAAAAATCAAATCATCCGCAGACTTTCCTG